CGGCGTCCCGCGCTGAGCCGACAAACAGCTGATCAGCGGTTTGTCTGCTCACCGTGCTGTAGTCTGGCCCCCCCTGCCGACATCAAAGCCCTTTGTCGGCAGCCCCGTTATTCCTCGTGGGATGAGGTTTACCGGGGCTGCCGACAAAGGGCTTTGATGTCGGCAGGGGAGTGTCCAGACTAGCGCGCTGAGCGGACAAACAGCTGATCAGCTGTTTGTAGGCTCAACGCGGCAGCCATGTAAATGTAAATGAAGCCGCGATCATTTATATCGCGGCTTCATTTGACTTTGCCAAACAAACAAATCCGTCGACGGAGCCATGTAGTTTAGACGTACCCGTAGTAGCAGCAGGTGAGCTTGTTCTCATGCATACTGCAGGAGGGTCAGAGCTGAGCAAAGGTGTTTCTTCCGGCTTATAAATTGCCACATTCCAGTGCTACTGCTTTGATTCAAAGAACAGTGTGCTACTGGAAGCTATGAGAAGGCAATCTTGCCACTAACTTGGAAACCAATATCTATAATTTTAAGTGAAAATAGTAACTGACCAGATTTCTGTCTGCATCTTGTCACCCCTAAGTCAGGTGATGATCTGTGGACTTGACAGTCCAGAGATGAGGTCTCTAATGTTGTTCCCTATCAGTTGGCCCAATTGGTTTTTACATTGTCTCCAGCATCACTCTCAAGGACTCCTTTACTTCCCATTTGTGTTGTCATTTGGCCAAGGCTGCTGATGCATTCCTGTGCTGTGCCAGATGAGGAGACACAACAAAGGAGGTGCGCTTTTGTCTTACACAGACTTCAGGATGCATATCCAATTGTGTACATAGAATAAAAGATTATATCACTCATTCTACATGGGGTGACAGTCAATCCTATTCACCCCTGAGAGCACTAGCTCAAGTCATCAGAGCCATAGCTCAAGGCATCAGAAACCCAATCCAGATTTTTTAAAATTTACTTTAGAAGATTTAACATCTGCATGTTGGTTTCCCTCCTATTCCTTTGCATTTGTTCCTCCTTGGTTCCCATCCTTAAATCTGGGCTCTGTTTATCAAATCTGTAAGGCTGCATTGTATGTAAATGTATGTAGATTTGTTTCCATTCATATAAAATATACCCACTCTGATTGCTGCTCTACTTTCCTCTGTGACTTGTTTCTATTGGGCTGCCTGCAACTTTGCTTGTTACATCTTTGAAAAAGATTACATGAGGACAGTATGTGTACTTTTTAAAATATAATTTAGGGAAAAAATGATTCAGCCCCTAACTCGGGTGAAACTTCCTTTTGAAATTCAAAAGAGTTCCTTTCTCATAAGGAAGACCCAAAAGAGAACTTTCAGGGGGGTAACTTTATCTTTCTTAGGCTTCTTGAAAACTCCAGTTACCCTTTACCATGCCTTGTCTTGTCAAAACTTGTAAACATTATAGGTGTGGAGGAGCCACAGCTGTTTGAAGCTGAAGCATAGCTGAAAGGTAGACTTCATCCATTCATAGTAAAAGAAGGAAATATCCACCCATCTGTCATTCATGAATATACCTAGCCTCGCTGGACCTATATAGAAATCCCTCATAACATGAACTTGATTCCCAGTTACTTGAAAGCTAAGAACTCAGGTGAGGCCCTCATCAGGACCCTAAGGGCTGCTTTGTTTGTTCAAAAAGTCCTCTACAGAGTTCTCTTTTTCCATGGGCGTTCATTTTGTAGTAGCCTTAGTGCTTCCTTTTTGCACATCTCTGTACAAGGAATCATTGCTGCATAGTTTTGATGGCCACATAGTTTCTAAAACTCATCATAAGGCTGCTGAAGTCAGTGGGGCGTGTGTGTATGTACATGTGAGTACTGTCCATATATTTGTTGGTGTTTGTATTTCTTATTTTAATGGTTGTCTCTGTCCTCTTCTTGTTGTTGGCAGTTGACACAAAGTGACATGAACCTCATGGAGCCTCCACTTCTGCAATATCCTGACTGGAAAGGACATATGTTGTAAGTAGACTCATCTCCCAGAACTTTCGCTTTGTAAATACTTGCCTGCTAAATAAAATACAGATTTTATCCTCACACATATATGGAAAAGGCTATCTTGAGGTTAAGTACAAACAAGTTCTGCTAGATTGGTTGGATAAAGCTTCTGTAGGCTGTTAAATCATTTTCTTCCTCCCAGATCCCTAAGTGACCACCTGGTCTTTTCATTCCATTCCAAATTCCACTATAAATTAGTAGATATAATTTTTTTAAAGTATTGTGCATATCTAATAGGTGGGCATGTCCACTATTCTCTACAATTATAGCTGACATTGGTGGAACATTAGTTCTTCCTATGTTCTATGTCTTGACAAATTAAATTCTTCAGAAATAGGTGTGGAGTTAATCAATCATTTCTGTGACTTTTGTTGTGTATGCAAGGCATCTCCATAGTATGGAGTAAGTGGTCCACGGCATGTATTTTCCTCATATGCCTTGGCTTTATTTCTTTGTGATGTGGATCTGTGGAGAGCCCAGCTTCTTGGAGAATAAATTGAATCAATCTTTGCTTTTGTCTTTCTCAGCTTACGGGAGGAAGTGGCTCGATTTTTGACCTATTATTGCAAGGCCCCTGCACCTCTCAAGGCAGAAAATGTGGGTATTCTGCTTTCCACTGGTCTGTCTTATAACATATTGCCATGCACTGTCATATAGGTGCTTCTGTCTTATTTAACTAAAATTTGAATGTGAGCTTGCTGAATCATTCATCATGTAAATGGGAAGCTGATCACTCAGGAAGGTGACATGCAACCTTTTCAGACATTCTTCACATGCAGCTCACTTAACATATTCAGGCCTACCATGTGGCTTCCTTTATTTTTTCATTCCTGCCTCCCAAGTCCCACATCATCTTGCAAGTGGCCCACAGTCATGCTTTATAGTACCACTTTCTGCCCCAGTCTTGGTCCCTATTATGCCAATACACCTCAATCATTACTTTTAACATAATCATATTGTTCCAGTCCCATGGTCCCCTTGAACTGTTTTGCTGATTTACCTGATGTTGGAACCATAATTGAATCAAGAATAGTTTTGCTCTGCTAAAGGATAGAATAGAGAGCAGATTTCAGTGCTCTCCAGTGAACAAGTTTAACATCTGCTCCTGTTGTCTCTTCTGTAGGTGATTGTGTTGAATGGTTGTGGCTCTCTGTTTTCTGCATTAGCTACAGTTCTCTGTGATCCAGGGGGTAAGTGGCATTATTGGATGATTTTTTGAAAATATATATTTTTTGTTTGGTAGCAACATAATAGTCACAATACAAATACCATATGCCAGGGTGTAATTGTGGAGTTTTTGTGAAATACTGTGGAATTTCTGCCAAACGCCATATTTTTTCAATGTAACCACAAGTAAGGAGGTTGAAGTCATGTTTCCCCCAACTTTTAGTATCAAATGTATATCCTCCTCAGTGGCACTGCAGGTCTCCTGCATTCTCTCTTAGGTCTATGCTGTTTTAGTGTAGTTGCACCTCTGGATGTAGTTCTAGAAATGTGGACTGTACTCAAGTTGAGTGGATTCTCAGGCGTGGATGCTTAATGCTCTGAGACCTGGAATTTGGAATTAAAAGAAAAATACAAAATTATTGCTAAAAGGATGCAGACACAATTTAACTCTTAAAGTTCCCATGAATCTCAAAGATGGAACCATAAGCAAAAATGGAACCCAAGCTCCTATGGCGTGTCTTACTAAGGAAGAAAAAAAATCACGAGTTTTGTGGATAACTGGCTTTTGTTTTCTTGATTTTTTTTTAGAAGCTGTTCTGATTGCCACCCCCTTTTATGGTGGTATTACCCAGAGTCTGTTCCTATATGGTAATGTCAAGCTGGTCTATGCCTATTTAGACAGTAAGGTAAGAATTGTGGTGGGGGACAAATCTTTGCAGGTAGAAAGAATTGGTATTGGTAAACAATACAATAACACTTCCATAGTGTTTTCTGGCTCCGTGAGCTTTGCAAACAGTCCCCATAACATCCCTTAGTTATAGCTTACATTTAGCAACTCCATTTTACAGCTGAAGAAACTGATGCACATAAAGTTTAAGTGACTTAAGCCATAACAAGATTCAGTATTCAAATCAACGTTAAACTTCTGGATTCCCTGTCTTGCTTCCAGTCTTATGGTGTGATCACTAACTCATGTCCCTTTCTGTTCAGCATTCCACTCCAATTAAACAAACATTAATAGAATTTTGGAAATTTGCAAGCCTGATATTTTTTACAAAGCAAGACCAAGAATAGAATGAGCCTCAGAGACTGAACTTTTCTCCTCAAGATAGTCCCAGGGAGGGAGCAGCATATATGTCCTGGCTTTGTCCTGTCTTTCCATGGATACCCAGAAAATATTTGTGTACATGGCAGATCCAGGATCAATGTCTCTTTGATTTAAAGTATGTCTGTATTCTCTCCATAGTGTGAGGAAGAGAAAATCTGGGTTGTTGCTGGGCTTTTGTGGTTTGGGAAATACTTTTGTTCAGAAACCGTTGATAGAAGATCAGTAGAAATATTATTTGTTTTTTATCTTGTGGGTGCCTTTCAGATCACGGGGACAAGCACCCGGCCCTTCCAACTTACAGTGGACAAATTAGAGAGGGCCCTGCAGGACGCACAGTCAGAGGTGAGTGTGGCTGAGCATGGCCTTTTTGGAACCATTAGTGATGTCTGTAGGAGAAAATAGGGGTGCAGTTCTGGAAGGATGGTGAGGCCTTGGGCAGACTTTAACTGTGAGTTCTCATACAGGTGTAGAATCTCCTCTCACATACTTTTGCTTCATTGGAATGTCATCTGCTCAGGGATCTTCTAGAGTGGAGTGATTTTTAAATCACCAATTTTAATCATTTAGCTAATTCCATTCATTGATGCCATCACAACTCGATCCTTCCCATCTAAGACCTCAACTACACTAGAAAATTAGGTCAGCTTACCTATATTGTTCAGAGGTATGCAAAAGCCACACTCTGCACCTGAGTGGCACCATTAAGCCAATCTAGCCCCCAGTGTAGACAACGCTAGGTTGAGGGAAGAATTCTTCCATTGACATAATTACCCCTTTTTAGGAAGGCGGCTTACCTATTCTGATGAAATAACTCCTCCTGTTGGCATAGGTAGTCTCTACACAGAAGTACTTCAGTGGCATCTGTTCAACTCTTCTTCATTGTGGGGGAAATGTAGGAGAGTCTTTGTCAGGGATGAGTATACTAGTTGGCAGGCGTGCTTAAAACCAGAGGCTCATTCAACCCTCAGCCCCCAAAATATTTTACAAAACCAGGTAGCTTCAAGAATCTCTCCATCCTCCTGCTAAAACATCCCATAGTTGAATTTCTTCTGTAGATCTTGGCACTGGGATGTGAAGCCATTTCTGTGCATCGTGAAGGTGTGAGTTATTAGGGGAGACTAAGGGAGAATTAGCAAAGGGGGCTGAAGGTTTGCCCCAGATGTATTGTTCTCTTAACATATTATTGCTTTTGTTTTATAGGGTGTTGGTGTGAAAGCCTTAATTCTCTTGAACCCCCAAAATCCATTAGGGGACATATACTCCCTGTCAGAATTACGGGAGTACCTGGAGTTTGCTAAAAGGTACGGCAGTTTAAAGGCTCATGGAGACCCGGATCAGAGATAGCATTCTGAGCCTGATGACCCAATCAGTGCTTCTGTGTCTTTCTAATTCTAATAACTTATTCTGGTCTGAACAGCAAAGGATTTAAGACTAGGGAATATGGACACAGGATGGTGGCGCATGCATTCATTTCTCCAACCCTTGGATTGGTCAAGCACTTGCCCAAAGAGAACCCAGTCATACCAGTTTTTTGGAGTCTTAGGGTATATCTAAAAGGCATGGCTATTTCGAAATAAGCTATTCTGGAATAGTTATTCTGAAATAGCTTATTTTGAAATAGCATATCTACACTGCAGGGAAGCCTCAAAATTAGTCCACGGCAGGTTTCCCTAATGTAGACGTGTTATCTCGATTTAGAGTCCCAGGAAGCACTGGGGAGGGGCTATTTTGAAATAGCAGCAGTGGAGGAATAAGTACACACACCTTATTTCAAAATAGCTATTTCGGAATAGACGTCATTCCTCGTAGAATGAGGTTTACAGATTTTGGAATAAGCTGTCCATTATTTCAAAATTATTTCAAAATAATGAAATGGCTGTGTAGATGCTCACATTGTTATTTCAGAATAATGCTAGTTACCTCGAAATAATGGTGCAGTGTAGATGCACCCTTAGTGAACTATGCAAAACACTAGTTTTTTCTATTTTTGGGATGCGGTGAGATCCAGCAGCTCTACTATGCTCCTTGCATGGGTAATGAGGTTCATTTTCTACAGCTGTACAATATGTACAATTAGAAGACAATTGTAGGTTTTCAGCCTTCCACTGTATCACCCCCTGCCCTTAAAATTCCTGTCCATCCTTTGTAGATGGTGATGGAGTTTGCTCAAGTGGGACATTAAATGAGTTATTAAGCCAGCATAAGCAATGGCTGAAAACTCTTCCTGTGTCATGGTTATGGTGAGTGACAAGAAATGAGTGTGATGAGCCTCAATCTGCTTTTCTGCATACATGATGCAGCCCTCAGGCTATGAGAATATCATTCTCTCACAATCTCCATTTTCTCCCTTGCAGGCATGAGTTGCATGTAATAGTAGATGAGATCTACATGCTGTCAGTTTTTGATGAATCAACCACATTCCATAGTGTTCTGGGCATGGAAAGGTAAACTCTGCTCTTTCAGCAGCTGTGCAACATGTTTCCATGTTGATGGTTTGTGACTGGGATTTGACTAGTGCTCCAGTAGACTGTTTCATGTTGATTGCTTTATAGTTTCCTTCTTGCCAATGCACTTAGTAGTTTGATACACTTTTGAAGGTGTTCATTAGACCATTGTTTGCAATGTTTCTAAAAACTTGAAAAGGTTTCATTTCTTGCTGATCATTATCTTTCTTTTTCTTCACCAATCACTGCTGTCCCCTTTCCCAAGTTCCATTGATGCATGTAAGGATTAAAGTCTTTTTCATTCTTCACTTTTGTTTTATGCAGAAGCATCATCATCAAAGTATTTCTACTGATCTGGGACTGGATTTGACTAGTTAATGCTTTCTAGTGACATATCAGTTACAAAGCTCATGTTTAAAAATATTCCTTGCTTGTGTTATTAATAACTCTCACGATTTCTGAACAGAGAACTTTTAAATTTACTTTTACGTTTTCCCATTGAATTTGTTTTTCTTATTTGTGCAGTGCTAAGCTGGGACAGTGAAACTGGATCAGACAGTTTTATTTTCTGGGTCTTGTCAGTTTCACTTTGGGTGCTAGCCTACTATTATTGAATTTGGATTCACAGCATTGCAAGAGAACATTTAAATTCAGCCACAAAACTCTTATGTTTTCATTTACATTTTTAAAATAGTTGATGAAAAAATTCATTTTAGTTTTTATAAAAAATATTGTGAGTGGCCCGATTCTTTTAGAATCGAATGCATCTTTCTGTGTGCATCTCTGACAGTCTGGCCTATAATTTCCAATTACATTGTAGTGACTTTTGCCTTACAAGTATCTAAGATATATAAAAGTTGTTCTAAAATTAGTTCCTGATGTCCCCTTAAGGTTAGACTCTATTTAGCTTTATACTGCTTCACTTGTGTCCCGTAGCGTGTTGTCAGCCCTTGTGAAATGTTGCTGCTTTGCTTCTGGAATATTGCACTAGTGATCCAAAAGCTTCAGCACTCATGACACTAACTGGCCTTGTATGCATCCTTCCACATACAGATTGCCTGATCCACAGAGGACTCATGTGATGTGGGGAATTAGCAAGGTGAGTACTGTCTGCCAGTAATGCTAGGTCTAACTCAGCTATGCAGTCAGACTGATGTCCTATAAGGCCTTGCCCTTGTGCTGGAAAGAATAAGACAGTGGTGAAGGGATCCTGTGTTCCTTTGCAGTAGGGTAATCAGTATGTGTGTGTTTCCTGCAGGATTTTGCTGTCTCTGGGATTCGTTTTGGCACTTTGTATACAGAGAACCAAGATGTTGCCAATGCAGTGGCCTCCTTGTGTTACTTCCATGGAGTTTGTGGACCTGTCCAACACAAAGTGGCACAGCTTCTCCGAGACAGAGGTGAGTCTGAGCGAGTGGTTCTTCACACGGTTATCTGCTCCACGAGCTCAGAAGATCTATTCCTTACACGCCCATGTGGTCTGTAGCTAAAGCAGCTAAAATGACAACCTTCCATAATCCTGGGGCTGCATGTCAGATGTGATTGTCAATTCTATAGGATTGTCATAGAAAAAGAGGGTGCACTCAGGGTGAGCAGGGTTAAAGGAACAGCTAGGAGGCAGTTACTTGCACAACAGCAGTTACCGTTTTAAAGGGTCTGAGCTCTCAGAGAGGGGGGAAACAAAACAATATTTCCAATTGTGCCCTGGATTGCACACTAGCAAATTGCAGAGTCTTCACAACAGACATCTGAAGTCTAGGGAAATGTCCACCAGGATATTAGATAAAGAAGGATAAAATTCAAGACAGGCACTAAGCTCTTGAATAGTGTTGGTGTTTTTAGGTACTGCAGTGGGGAGTATATGAGGACGAAAAAAGAAGGGAACAGGGTGAAAGATGGATAGAAGCTTTATGATTACACTCTATATATCAGAGATGATCTTGAAGGAAATCTTTTTGGAACTGAATTATTGGTCAGTTTGTGAGGTTTCTTCTCCTCCTGGCCAGACTGGATCAATCAGGTGTATCTGAGGGCCAATCATGCCCGTCTGAAAGCTGCCCATACCTATGTGACAGATGAGTTGAAGACCCTTGGAGTACCCTTTCTCAACCGCAATGCGGGCTTCTTTGTTTGGATCGATTTCCGAAAGGTCAGTGGTCTCAGGGGTGGACTCTGCTCTTCTGGTTAGGCAAACATTTGGAACAATGGTTTCTGGAGGAGAGTTGGATGTAGTTGCACAAACATATTGCTAAATCCTAATTAATCATTCTGTTGAGCTGGAGGGAAGAGGTGCATGGTGATTTTGTAAGCATGATTCATTGGGTCCCTTTAGTTTGTATACATGTTTTTCTTCTTGCTAGGGATGTTTTCTTACTGCATTCTGTCTCTTTTCACTATCTTTTCCCCAACCCTTCTTCCTGGGAATTTCAACTGCATCAGTTCCTCAGGGATCCACCAGTTTCCTCAAGTCCTGTGAGGATCACAGTTTGGTACATTTACAGCATTTGGGATGCAGAAAAATCTCCCCAGGCTGTTATTATTTACGCATCCTTTTTACTTGGTGGAGGTGGCCCACTCTCTCCTCCACCGCCCCCAATTCAAAGCTCCCATGTCCTGCAGCTCCTCCTTGTGGCTAAAGAGAGTTGGGTAGCCAAATATCTCCATCTTCCATATAAAAGGAAAAAAATATGTAGCACTTTAAAGACTAACAAGATAGTTTATCACCTAATAAACAATCTTATTAGTCTTTAAAGTGCTACATATTTTTTTCCTTTTATATGGAAGATCCATCTTCCATATGACACCCTTCTCCTTAGAGCTCTGTGGCTGCTGGGCCCCAATTCCATTACCACTGATCTTGAACACAAAGGGTCCCCTGGGGTGACCTGCATGTTACTAACACCTTACCCTTATGCTCCCAGTACCTTAGGACAGGAACGTTTGAAGAGGAGATGCTGCTGTGGAGGCGATTCCTGGACAACAAGGTTCTGCTGTCCTGTGGCAAGGCCTTTGAATGCAGTGAGCCAGGTTGGTTCCGTATCATCTTTGCTGACAAAACCCATCGACTACAGTTAGGTGAGTGGTGTTTTCACCCCTCTCCATTCTGCTCTCTGGCCACCTCATTACCTACTCAAATTACCCTCTATCCCAGGCTGCCTCCATTATTTTTCACTCCCCTACTCCAAGTCCATCTGGATCTGACAAGTGTTTTGCGATAATTGTGCTTTTGTAGTAACTCTTGTGGGTTTTTTTCCTCCCTCACTCTACCACAGGCAT